CCCCCCCCCCCCCCCAACACACACATAATCAAAGATAATAATTATTAATAATTTTAAGATGAGATAATAAGTATTAATAACTTTAATAACTTTAAGATGGCTTACTAACTTCAAAGGTACTAAGAACCTAAAAGGCTAAAAGCCTAAAAGGCTAAAAGGCTAAAAGGCTAAAACGGTAAAACCACTATCCTGATCAATGTAGTAAGAACCGTAAAGTTGCGTAAACGACTACCCTGGTCGAAGTAGTAAGACGAACTAAGAACCTAAAACCACTACCCTGATCGAAGGAGTAAGAACCTTTAAAAAAATGGAAGTTAAACGGAAACTTAAACCCCTACCCTCGATGAGAGAGGAAGAAAATTTGTAGTTGGTGACTGGTAGGCCCCAAACCAGACTCGGAAAAAGGCCCAGGTGTTATGACCCTGGCCAATTTCGAGATACACATCCACCGGAAAGTACAATGCCATCCAATTGCAGAAAGAAATGAATGAACTTGAGAGGAGAGAGAGAGGATTAGAAGAAGAAGAAGAAATAAGAAAGAAGAAGAAGAAGATGTACACCAGCAAAGACAATGACAAGGCTCTTCTTCTTCGCCCAACAATTTCCTCCTCCTTATCTCCCCCTTCTCTTATTCATACAATAAATAATAGTACAATGTTGAATGACTGAACCAGAATCAATGTCCGAGTCCCTCTTCTACTGCAGGTATCACTTAAGGTCCACCATAGCCATGGTCGCCTCTCCCACTCTTCACTCTCATAGGCCGAGGCTATGGCGGACTACTGGGCTCTGCTCAGATGCCCAAAGGACAACCCAAAGCAACTATGGCTGCTCTAGCTCAGGCCGCCATGCCTGCCCCTGCCCCGAAGCTTCTTGGTGTAGCTCTCCCCAGCTGGGGACTCCCTGCTGCAGCGCCCACCAAGGTGATGAAGATGGCTGCCACCATAGCCAGGTAAGTACCCCTGGCGCTCCTCCCCCTTCCTTCCTTCTTCCTCCTTCTTCCTCCCTCATGTCCTTCTCCTTCCTCCCCAGCAGCACTGCTCCAGCTTAGTGCTGCTCCAGCCAGTGCTCCACCAGTGTGTCGCCAAACTTGCACACCGGAAAAGAGGCCGGACTCTCCGCCCGGCCCGAAGATATAGCGGCCTGCTTTGCCTCTTGGGCGGTGACTTCCAGGCCGGTCGGCCTCCCAAGCAACCGGTACCTCCTCCCTTTCGGAGGGAAACATCATTGCAGACTCTGATATTGCCCGTTACAGGCCCTAGACCCAGACTGGTTGGACTGATATCGGCCTGGACCTACCTACAACTACTGGGCCTCTAAAAATGCCACTTTTGTCTTCTTCTGCTCGGCCTCCGGTACCTGCACATCTACCCCCTTCCAGGTGTGGTACCGGCCTACCCGCTACTTTAGTGTTTTTCCCCGCTGCAACCCCTCAATGTCACGGCCACAGGTAAGTACCGGCCCTGAGGGCCCAACGAACGAGCAAGTGCCCTGACGGGCCGCACACATACTCATGCCAACCAGCACTCAGACAGGCACGGTCACACACACACCCARGCCAACCAACACTCAGACAGGCATGGTCACACACACACTCAAGCCATCCAGCACTCAGACAGACATGCAGTCCAGCAAGCGTGCACACACAGACTTAGTAGCAAGCGGGAAACTCAGCAGTGCATTCAGTCTATGGGCAAAACTCAGAAATCAGCTGTGTTTCAGTCCATGTATGGACGGGTCGTCACACTACTCCCCCCTCAAGAGCGAGGTCCCTTCGAGCGAGTAACTCACTTTGAGTCCTCGACAAACGCATCGTAAGCGAGCAAGGCAAAGAGATTCCTAGAGTACTCTGTTGCAGTGAGCTTTGCAGAGATCTTAGGTAGAGCGCTAGTGGCGATTTGTCGCTCATATGCTTTGACAACACGCGGTGCACTGGGTAGCAGTTCCTGTTTGGAAATCCAATACATATTGTCTAGTGGGTGATACATGAAGTGAACCTGGTACTGTCTGTTGCGTTCTTTCCCTACGTGCTGTTTGATCCTGTTTATCTCGTGCCCGCCTTTGATCGTCGAGGGATCATATCTTCGCGATAATCGAATGTCTTAGCATCACGGTGGAGGTATAGTTTGGATGCATGGAACACGGGGTATGTACGCAGATGGGCTGGCACATCAACGACGTACGGAGGGCCAAAGTGATCTTCACCAATCACATCCAAAACTTCCCAGGGCCCATTATAGAGAGGGAGGAGTTTGCGTGAGACTCCCTCTTCTTCTGAGAATTCAGACATCTTGACCCAGACATAGCTTCCTACCTGAATATCCGACGGTCGGCGCTTCTTGTTCGCATGATGGATCATGGCGTGATGTCGCTTGGTCATAGCTGCAATGGCAACTTTGAGCAAGCGATCATACTTGGCCCTGAAGCCAGGCCTGCCGGGTGTTAAACCAGCTGGCTGCTCAGGGAATAGGTAAGAGAGCGGTTTCCGGATCTGCCATCCGTAATGCAGCCTGTTGGGTGTCATGCCAGTGGCGGAGTGGACGAAGTTGTTGTATAACCCCTTAACGGAATACAACTCTTCATCCCATGTTTCCTGATCCGGAATAATCAAAGCGCGAAGGAGTTGGAACATAGTCTGGTTGATCTCCTCAGCCAAACCGTTGGCTTCGGGGTGTCGGCCAAATGTCATACACAGTTTGATCCCCAGTTGAGACGTGAAGTCCTTCCACTCAGTACTAATGAAGCACAGATCCTGATCACTCACAAGAGTCTTCGGGGTTCCAAACTGCAGAGTGTACTTCTGTTGGAATTCATGAATCACTAGCTCTGTTGGGGCATGAGGCGGCAAAGGGATCAGATTGAGGAACTTAGAGAATCGGTCAACAATCACCATGACCTGTGAGTAGCCGTTCTTACTTACCTTTCCCGTGTCGGTGAAGTCAATGGAGACAGACTCCCCGAGACCATCGGGAATGGGTAGGGGTGTGAGTAGCCCCATCGACTTTTGTCTGCATGGTTTGATTCGTTGACAGACTTGACATTCAGCCACAAACTTCTCAGCAGTCCCTTTCATGCCTGACCAATCAAACTGTCTCAACAAATTTGCGTACGCTTTTGCCATGCCGAAGTGTCCGCTCCGGCCATGAGCCACATCCAAAAAGTGTGTGCGGAGAGGCTCATGGTTGGGCACACACAAACGGTCGTGGTTCCCGTAGCAATGAAAAATCAGTCCTCCATACTCATGAAAATCAGGCTGACTACTAGGATCAGCCCGCAGCCGCTCAAGGATGGAACTAAGTTCCGGATCCTTGGTTGTCTGCTCTACGAGCTCCTCCTTCAGTTTTTTCCGGAGGTCGTAGGATTTCACAAGGCAAGTCATGTACTCAGGGTGGCGAGACAATGCGTCAACGACTCGATTATAACAACCCTTTTTGTGTCTTAATTCAAAATCGAAGATGTCAATCTCATGGAACCAGCGAAGCAAGGTAGGGGACAGGGTAGTTTGCTGTTTGATCCACTTCAAGGTCTCATGATCTGAGAAGACTTTGAAGTGGCGTCCCAAAAGATAGTGTTTCCAGTGATCCAACGCCATACGCAAAGCATAGAGCTCGCGCATGTAGGTGGAAGTGGTTACCTTTACGCTGGGCATGCGTTTGCTGTAGTACTCGAGTGGTCGCAAGCCATCACCATCATCTTGTTGCAGCACTGCACCGATTTCATACTAACTTGCATCCGTAGTAACTACGAATGTCAGTTTGGGATCTACAATGCGGAGTATCGGGTAACTTACCAAGGCGTCCTTCAAGGCTTGAAAGGCGATCGTGCATGCGGTGTCCCAAGAGTAGGGAACATTCTTACTTGTTAGTCGAGACAATGCACGTGCAACAATGGAGAAGCGGGGCACAAACTTCCGATAGTATGACGCGAGACCAAGAAAAGAACGCAGTTCGCGAATGTTCACGGGCTGAGGCCAATTGCGTATGACCTCCACCTTGGTTGCTTCAGGCTCTAGGTCTGCAGCAGACAACCGGTGCCCAAGATAGATGACACTATCCTTCCCAAACTCAGATTTTTCTAAGTTGAGATGGAGTTGCGTCTTCTTGAGGATGGTCAGTACCTCCTCAAGGTGCTTGAGGTGTTCCTCCATGGAGTTGCTGAAGATCAGAATGTCATCGAGGTAGACCACCACGAATCGGCCAATCTGTTCGCGGAGGACTTTGTCCATGAGGCTTTGGAAGGTGGCCGGTGCGTTCATGAGACCGAAGGGCATTACGGTAAACTCGTACAACCCATCGCGTGTCTTGAACGCAGTCTTGTGCTGGTCCGCAGGATCGACTTCAATCTGGTGGTAGCCAGACTTGAGATCGATCTTGGAGAAGACCTTGCACCCACCCGCGACATCAAGCAAGTCATCTATACGAGGCAATGGATAAACATTCTTTCTTGTGATACGGTTTAGACCGCGATAGTCAATACACATGCGGAGTTTGCCTCCTTTCTTTGGACAACACAGGAGCACCAAATTCAGATTCGCTGGGCTTGATCCACCCCTTGTCAATCATCTCATCAATCTGTCGCTAGAGTTCCTACACAGCCCTTTGGAGGAACAACACCTTCAACCAACTCGATGGTGTGTCGGACCGATCGTGTGGGGACTCCACGTGGCTCGGCCAGAACTTCCGGAAACCGATCGAGGAGGTTTTGGATGTCTGGTGGGACAGGTGGGGGTGGGGAATCAGCAAAGGGATCACCTAGATCCGGTCGCAGGTCGCGTATAGAGACGACCAAATCTGAAGTAGGATCATTTGGACCATTAGAGGATGGAGAAATAGAGGTGCTAGAAGTAGAAGTACTAGAAGTAGGATCACTAATCGAAGTAGTGGTGGTAGTAGCCGCAAAAGTAGATGGCACACGGGTAGGACAAACAAAGGCAACATACAATTGTTCTTCCTTCTTGTGCTTGCGCCATTTCTTGCAGAACTGTATTGCATTCAGAAAAGTCACTGGGGACTCGTGCTTCTCATCCAAGAGGACAGGAAGCTCATTCCCTCTTGCATCTTTGATCATGAAAAGTGACTCCTTCCACTTGGTCCATTCTCATTGGGGCACTTGTCAAGAACATTAGAAGTTCAACGCTTGTGTGACAGTTTTGTCCTTGTCAAAGGTAGTGCGCACACCTTTGACTGCATGCGTAGAGGAGACAACTTCTTTGTTGCCAACTTGGGTCCGACAAGGGTTCTGCAATGCCACTTGCTTCATCCCCAAGCCCACTTTGCGTATTCCGTGCGGTGACATGAAGTTAGCCGTAGCACCACAGTCAACCAAAACACGGAGATAGCGGTGGTTTATGAGAAGTTTGAAGAAGATCAACTTCACGGTCCCCTGGGCACGCTGCTGTTTCATCTCAGCCCAATGCTCCAAGTGGTAGTGAAAATCGACCGTCCCAGACTCCTCCCAAGGCTCCACATACAAAACATTACTCACCTCAGCCTTGTGTTCAACAGATGATTGGGCTTCAAGGGAGGACTGCTGATTTGCCTCAGATTCAGTCTCCCCTACTGTAGAGTTTGCTGAAGTTGACTCTACGCCCGGTTCTGGTTTCCCTGCAGCCTATAACAGTCTTGTACCTTATGGTTTGGTTTTTGGCAATGCAGGCATACCCCCTTCTTGAGTCTCCCCCGCCAGTCATTTTTAGTAATCCGGAGGTCAACCCAAGGTTTAGTAGTTGCATCCTCTGGTTTAGGTGGGATCTTGACTCCCTTGGGAAGTTGGACATAGTTTTTCCCTGCACTCCGATTCGGTCCCTTTGCATTGGCAGTCTTTTTAAAGGCAGTAAATTTTTCTTCTTCTTTGTTTGCATCAGACTCATGGGCTGAAGAACAAGCTGTATCAGAGTCTTGTTCTTGGTTGTCACCAAAAGTGGGGTCATCTGCATCGGCTTCTTCTTCGGCCTCCAGCAGGTCATGCACAGCAAAACGGCTGCTGCCTTTGAACCGTCTGCCGTGGTGACGAGGTCTACAACCTCAAGAACGACTATGTCCTTCATCAAGGTGAACCAGTCAATGTACCCAATGAAGTCCCTGCCCAGGCGATTAGTGAAGTTCGTGGGAACGGCGCCCTTGACCACATCCAAGCAAGATTGAGCAGTTAGTTCCAATCCAGGTGTAGCGAACATCTTACTAAGATAGGTCTGCAGGTTTTCATGGAGCCCGTCCACTTGCTGCGCTTGATTTTGTCAAGCTGAATTCTTGCTCTTGCTGCAGCATGTGGATCCAAGTATTGTGAAATGAGGAGTTCCTCGAGGGAGGCAACCGGGGTGGCCTTAAGTCATCTTGTTAGTTGGATTTTAGGAATCCCAGGTCGTGTAGCTTGGACTTCTAAGAAGCCCCGAACGACTTGCTCGACATTCATTCCCATGATCACAGACTGGTTCTCAGGTTGAGTCCCCAGAATCTCGAAATATGCCCTCCTGGAGCTGATCCAGGATTCGATGTCTTCCTTGCCGTCGTACTTGGTATTTGAACCGCCTTACGATCCACATAGGGACCGGCGTAGCTGGGACCAGCGCCTGCTGGTTCCAATCTTGGGGCTGCAACAGTTGCAGAAGTTCCAGCCTCGTTGCTTGTCACAGCGACAGCGGAATCTGCACCTGTTGCAGGTCCCGAGGGGGTTGCCAACACATTCGAGGAAGAAGATACAGTAAGAGGGTCAAAGGTAGTTTCGATTGCAGCTTCAGATCCAGGGGGTAGAGGAAGAGGGTTGGCCACTTGGGCTTGTCGCAGCTCAGCCACCTCCTTTGTTAATTCATGGTACTTGCGGGTCATATCAGTCAGATTATCTTGAAGTGTCTGCAACTTCGCAAAGACTTCACCAATCTGAGTGGTATGATCCTCAAGGTTCCTGACTTGAACAAGGGCGGTGAGTATAGACTGCAACTGTTCCCCACACTGCTCTTCAGTCGATGAGGGAACAGTCTCTTGGATGGCCACCTGCCTTTTCAGCAAGGTCTCCTTCCTCTCCTTCTCTGCCTCCTGTTCCCTTTTGATTGCACTATCTAGGAGTGCTTGTAGATATGGTTTTTCAGCATCACTGGCTGCACAAGGCCCGCCATTGCACTGGAGTTAGCTGAGCCATTTTTGGACTGTCAGTATTGACAGGTGGGTCAGAGAGTCGCCAGTCAGCAAAAGAATCAATTAGACTCTCAAGAGGTTCGTTCCCCCTCTCACTTGGACGAACACTCCTTTTCCCAGTCCTTGCCCACTTCAGACAGTCACCTTCCCTCTCTCCCTTTTCTCTCTCCCTCCTCTCTCTCTCTTCTTTCTGGCTGCGAGTCTCCACGGGCATCGGAAATGAACTCAGAGAAACAGACAGAAAATCTCAGAGATGAGAAGGTAGAACTCCTAGCCGGAGCGGCATTTCATTTGGAAGTAGAGAGCAGCAAAAAAAAATAAAAAAATTCAAACGAGAGGTCTGATCCAGCGACCCAGTCTGATCAGACTGCATACGAGGTCCTCTCGAGTCCAGTCTGACCAGCTCCGTGACCGTACAGCAAATCAGACAATGAGTGACTAAATGCAACAATGGAGAATTGAGTGGTGTACAGGGTGCAAGTCAAGCCACGGACAGTGCAATCCAAAAGACATGCGAAACATTTCAGCCAAGATCCCCTCGGCAGTGGGTGTCCTAATCCAAGAAGAATGAACTCGTATCCCAGCCAAGAAGACAAGAGGTCAATGCCTAACCGATTTGGGTCCAGAGGCTCTTCTTGTTTGGGCCCGGTCCCGCTGGGTCCCAGGGGTCCCACGTAGGTCTCAACCAGGTCCCAACCAAGAGGAGTTCCACATGGACTTAGGTCAGTCTCTACTGTACTGAAAAACGAAATTTCAACTTCTGGCAGAACCTACAGACTACAACCGTTCAGAGATGAAAAGACAAAGCACTGTAGAAAGACTCGGCGTTTAGGTCAAGATACTTCATTTTCCATCCATCAGGTGAGTAGGTAGATCACATGCATTCAGTCACACAATCAAGACCACAGAGGAGTGGGAAAAGAAACCCAGAGTACCCCAGCAGGACCATCAATACCATACACACATACATGGGCATCCGGTAGGTGCACGGCACTTACCTGAGTGGCCTTGAGCTTCGAGATGAATAGAACTCACCCCCCTCTCATGTAGTCCTCCTGACCCCTCTAACGCTACCCCTACACTAGTGTCCTATCTCCTAGGAGGGTCTGACTCCAACACCAAAGTGCAACGCCGGATCCCCCGTCGATGCTGAAGAACAAAGTAGCAACTTGCAGTCCGTAGATGCTGAGTGGCCGCTGACCCTCAAGCTCGCCTACTTGAGGGCAGCCCTTAAGTTGCCAAGTGTCTCCCTTGAATCAGATTCCAGGTGCGAGTGCCTCTCACTGTCGCCTCTCTCAAATCGCCGCATGAAGTCTCCTCGAAATGTCTCGCCACCCTAATCTCACTCTCAAGCAACCTGGTTAGGTTCTATGTCGACCCCACATGACCTAACCAGGTGGGGGCACCTTCCCTCAGCCACGCTGCCCCACTTCCCTCAACCAACCAACCCTAACCCTTAGTGTTGCCCTCAACCACTTAGGTTAGGGTTAGGGCAGCAAAGTCAACTCTCACCAGCAAGTAGAATCCGCTCTGATACCAATGTTATGACCCTGGCCAATTTCGAGATACACATCCACCGGAAAGTAAGATGCCATCCAATTGCAGAAAGAAATGAATGAACTTGAGAGGAGAGAGAGAGGATTAGAAGAAGAAGAAGAAGAAAGAAGAAAGAAGAAGAAGAAGATGTACACCAGCAAAGACAATGACAAGGCTCTTCTTCTTCGCCCAACAATCTCCTCCTCCTTATCTCCCCCTTCTCTTATTCATACAAGAAATAATAGTACAATGTTGAATGACTGAACCAGAATCAATGTCCGAGTCGCTCTTCTACTGCAGGTATCACTTAAGGTCCACCATAGCCATGGCCGCCTCTCCCACTCTTCACTCTCATAGGCCGAGGCTATGGCGGACTACTGGGCTCTGCTCAGATGCCCAAAG